AAGGCAAGAAAAACAATCAAAGCTAAAACCAATCAAAACAACCAAAAATTCAAGAACTAGTAAACTGTCTCTATTTGCAAGGGACACTAGCTCATTAGGAAAGATCATGGGATTCTGAGCCTGAGATAGCACAGCAGTTAAGGTGCTTGCCTTGCACACAGCCATCTCTTGTTCAAACCCCATGCACCTGGCTCCTGAGCCCCTCCAGGAATGATTCCTGAGCACAGAGTTAGGAATAAGACTCAGTCCTCCTGGATGCAGCCCCAAAAATGGGACTACAAAAATAAAATAAAATACAATTTAAAAAAACAAAACCTCCTTAAGACTACCGTATGAGTTTAATCAAATTGCAGGAGACAAGGTCACAATAAATACACAATAAATATAAATACATTATACTAAAAACCAATAATTGGAATTGTGGTTTTTTTATTTGGTGCTATTTCAATAACATGAAAAAAATTAATTACCTATAAATCTAAAACATACAGCATCTATAAGATAAGCACTACAAAAATGCTGATAAAACTAAAAGACTTAATAGACCCTGTGTCCATAAACTGGAAAACTGAATAATGTCTATTTTCCTCAAACTGATCCAAAAAATATCTCTGCAATTATATCAAAAGCACAAAATTTTCCATAGATACTACATCCTTAAATGGAATCTAGAAGACAGTGAAAGTGAAGAAATATTTCCGCATTTTACTAAAAGTTGCCAGTGAACAGACATTAACTATTACCAATCAGCTCTTAAAATACATCCTTTATCCAAGAAGCAGAAATTACTCGGTGGACAGTGAAACAGTCCATAGTGGAACATCATAGTGGAACACCATTGTCAGTCTCTGAACATAAAGAATGGCAACCTATTTACAACAGCATTACGTGTCGAATTACAATTGATAGGCCACAAGTATATCATCGTTCAGTTACAGCTCCCACCAGAGCACAGAGCTTATAACATCACAGAAGAGGGTATCTGCCTTAGCTTTGTAGCTTTGTTAAAGACATAATTTGATTATTACTTGACTTGGCTTTAGGACAGAAATAAATTTGATTCTGCATAATAAATTACAGTAGAAGAATTATGCAAAGAATATAAAGTAACAAAAAAAAGAGCAATCAGGGGCCAGAGTGATAGTGCAGTGGGTAGGGTACTTACCTTGCACATGGTCGACCTGGGTTCAAGCAAGACCCAGCATCACATATGGTCCCCAAGACAGCTAGGAGTTACCTCTAGCACAAAGAGAGAAGTAAGCCCAGAGTACCAGGTGGGGCCCAAAAGCAAAAACAAAAACAAAAAAAGTGGAATTAGTGTGTTAAAGCAGTAGGCCAGAAAACTGGGAGGAGCAGGGAAGTAATATGGACAGGGCCCACAAAATGACAAGCGAACAATAGGACAGACAGTAGACAGATTTAAAATAGTAATAAACAGGGGACAGACTGATAGTACAGTGGTTAGGGTACTTGCTTGCCTTGCACACAGCCGACCTTGGGTTTGATCCTCAGCATCCCATATGGTCCCCTGAGCACCATCAGGATAATTCCTGCGTGCAGAGCCAGGAGTAACCTCTGAGTATTGCTAGGTGTGACCCAAAAAGCAAAAAAAAGTAATAATCATAATGTCCAAAATCTAGATTTTGATTTTTAAAAAATATAGAAATTTCATATATTTATATGATTCTGGCAAATAACTTACAATTACATCATGTGAAAAAATAAAAATGAAATATTTTAAATATCCAGCTCAGCTGAGGTTAAGGATAAGGATGTATGTTTTATCAAGTATTTTTTTTTTTTGGTCAAGAGTAGACGATTCTGATGCATATTCTTATCCGAATAAGCAATTTTCAATAATTTTCTTATAGACAATGAATCACCAATGTTGTTGACACTCTACTACCTTGGCTACTCCCCACTTGATGGAGGTTTCAGCAGATGGTCCATTTTTATTTTTCTGGTAAAAAAAACATTTGCTGTGACAGAAATTTTAAACCAAACAAAATTTCTGAATTAGCTTCAAATTGAAATAATCCTTTCTTCCCTGGATTCTAATATCATCAATAGTGGAGAATGTTAAGAGTTCATTATAAAGTATACATTACTTCATTCCCTTAAGCAAAATAATTTTAAAACAGGTTGTTTTTTTCAGGAATTTGAGACTGAAATTGCATATATTCTCTACAATTCTCTACAAATCACTTCAAAGCACTTTTAGTTATGTTCAATTCCATATTTCACAAAGTTGAGTTATTTCTGCACTTATTATAAATAAAGACTAATCAAAATGTAGAATCAGAACTGGCAACAAGCTGGGTAGGAATGATCTAACATGATTAGAGCAACAATCATTCTTTCAACAGTCATAGTCCAAATCTAAGGGAGTAAATACATAAAATTAAAAACCAAAGACTCCCATAATAGGAATTTTAGAAGCTAGAATTCCTATACAATCAAAATATTTACAAAAAAAGTAAAAAGAACTTTAATGTGTTTGTTAAATTCGCATCTGCTGCTCAGTTATCATCAGGAAAGATGAAACTGCTTTCCCAAGTTCTTAACTAATTCCTAATCTGCACAGTTATCTTAAAAATTAAATTTAAAGTAGAAATATAACATTTTCAAAATTCAGATCCCATACTAATTTTTTTAAATGTATTAAATGCACAAGTGTGAAATCTGTTACTATGGAAACAAGAATCTTTGTATATTCTAACATATGCAATTTTACAAGAAAAAATATAATCTAATTCTCAAGCAATGGGTTAGACATTTTCATCTTTATAAAAAACAAAAGTAGACAGGATAATCCTGCTAGGGAATCAGGATTATTATAATCACCAAATCGTCGGTATCTTTTCATATTTATTTATACACACATTATGTAATTGAAAAAATTATCTAAAACTATATTAAGCATCATATGGGGGGAAAATGCTGCTGTTCATTATGCCTTATATGCCCTTAATGACAAAGCATTTGTATAAGGCCTAAAAAGGAAGCAATGTTGAGTTCTGAGCTCTTGTTATTACTCTTCCTGTCAAGAGATATCCCAGATTATGTTTTTCAAAATTACCTGAACTTTGAAATACTGTCTCACAGAGATGTTAACAAAGCACAGAAATATATATATATATACAATATCAAGAATCAAAGCTTTATAATGATCCATAGAACCCCTGACTTGTCCAAAAAAAAATCATATAACCAATAAGCAGTGACTAAACTCTAATCATACAATTCTAAGTTCCAAGAATCTTGACATTGTCCTGAAAGAGGAGCCAACTAGAAGTGAAGAGGGGTTTGCAGAGTTTGAACACTAGTACTGCTACCAATTTAATGACTCTTCCAAGTTACTAAACTTTGCTGTGCCTTGGTTTCCAACAATACATAGGTATACACTCTGATAACAAGAATGCTTCAACAGAATGTTAGTATATGTATTATACTAGTAATTTCTTAACCCTACCACAAACTTTAAATCATTCTGTTTTTTCCACCTTTAGTTATAAGTTTAAAATAACTTTGAGTGTTTATGCACATGTTCATGCTACTTTTCAACATGGCTGGCATCTAGACAAAATCCTTTCCTCCAACTTTCAAAATACATGAATAAAAGCATAACAATGTTTAGAATTTTAGCATTACCAAAACTTTGCTACTGAAAACTATGCAGAAAATTTCAGAAATTCACAACAAAATTTTTCACATTACTCTCTTACTATAGGAATGATATTCAAAATACATACAACACAGCCAGCTGTGAAGCTTAAATATTCTCAGTGGAAAGATTATAAAAATTCATGATGCTTTTCAAGATTGTAAAAAAAATTATAATTGCAAACAAAAACTTAGAAAATAATATTTCTTAAATGAAGATCATAATAGTCCTAAATAACAGAAATAGGTGATCAGTATTCTATTAATTCAGTCATGTGAAAAATGCCTACTTTTATCAACTGACATAGAATCTAGCAACCTTACAAAGTCAATCATGTTTTAAAAACAAAAAGCCAATTATTAAAAAATGAAAGCTTACTTTTAGACAACAATAAGGATATCATTTTAAATTAGCATTTTAAGCTAATTATTTACATCATTTTTCTTTTGACAGTGTATGTAGCTTAAAACAATTTAGCATTAACTTATTAACATGTTACTAACTCTCTCTTTCCTTTACCAATATATAACCATCAACATTAACATAAGCTCTATGTAATAGTTATGGCATAGTAATCCACTATATGCCTATGTTAGAAATAGAAATAGTTGTCTGAAATAAAATTCTAGAGTAACTGATCAATATATAGCTACTGAAAAAAAAAAAGTGACCAGAGGTGAAACTGAGTAGCAATCTCAAAAGCAATACAATTAAATCTTTATATACAAAGACTATTCAATTAACAAGAAACTGTAAAAATATCATAGGGTAGATCTGGTTAGTAAAGCCAATGAGTAAAGTGAATGGGTACCTGAAAAAATGAATGTTACAGTCATAACTATATAACACCTTGGGAAGTTCGTAACAATTTAGAATACACTGAGACATTGACTCGAATACAAATATACTAGTTGAAATTCAATGTGGTTCACAGTAAAGATGCAGTGATTTTCTATTTGTAGAACAAAGAATCACAACCAAAAACATATATGAATAAAATATTCAAGCGCAATTATACAGATTTTAAAATATAAAATATATTTGTACAAAGAAATTATTTATTGCCCCTACCTCCTTGCATTTTTAATGCTTGCCATAAATGAACAACAAAGCAGAACAGAATATGAAATTTATAAGACTAATTTACTCATATTCCATTTCAGAGTCACACAGAATCCCTTATCAATTTGGTTTTTTAAACGCATCCTTATATAAAACAGTGGGGGAAAGTCCCTGCTATACATGTGAAGCACAGTTTAAGCTCAATACAACTGACCAATCAAAATTAGTGAATGCACTGCATCTCTCTGCAGTGGAGAGAAGCGACAAGGTAGGCTGTCATTCTGCAAAAGCTGCCCAAGAACAGCTTTCCTCTGAAAAGCAGTGCAGTTCCTATTTAGAAAGACTGAATCTAAATGTTGTCTCTGGAGACAAGAAGCCTTCAGTATGTTAAATTACTTTCATTATGTATTTTCAGATGCTTATTGATTCCACAGTAGGAAGAGTGAGACTGCAGCAGCCTCTAAGCAGCACTACATGTTCCATACATTAGCAGTACTGCTGAAACAATGGCACAGTACAGACACATATTTTCATTAAGGTCATTCTGGAAGAGCTGTTTATGATCCTCCTTCCCCAGTCCTCTGCTAACAAGTGAACAAAATGAATCAATCAAACCTGGAAATGCTTCAACTACATCAAGAATTTATCAAATCTTTAGCAGAGGTAAGATGCGTTCTTATTATAGTATACAGCTGCTTTTGAACCGGTATAGTGGGATAAAATTACTTCGGAAATTTTCCGTCTAAATTTTAAGAGGTTTTCAACATTATTTTTTGCTTAATTCTACTTATGGATAAGCATGTATTTCAGATCTATTTCTTTGAGGATATATTTTGAATGTGATTTGTTTAGTATATAATGTTAAAATCAAAATATACTGTTGATTTACTATGAAGACATCACTTTTAATTCACTTCAGTCACACAAAATATACTTAATGTCATCATACAATTTTTTTCAGGTGTTAAAAAAATTTCTTGTATTTCTTAAAAGAACCAGGTTTGCTACTGAACTATTATTTATTACTCAGATTGCTAAGTTTGCTTTGGAGCATGTTCACCGAAATGATTTAATTTGCAGTTACATTCTATATTACTTTTTACATGTCAACTACATGAACAATCCATCATCAGAAAATTGTACTATCTTATTATGAGATGTGTCTTAATCAGTTAAAATTCAAACTATGTGGCTAATAATTAAGCAAATTACAATATTTTATAGCATGAAATGATAAATTTTTCACAAAGGCAAAAAGAAACTGACAATGTGCTTAGTGAGTGCTAATTGCACATAATTTCTGAAAAAAAAATACAGGTTGGTGTCTAAAATGAGAACAGAAATTAGTTTTCAACATGTAATTTTTCTTTTCTTGTTATATTTGTAACACTGCTATTAAATAACATATACCATCTTTGTTATGAAAAGATATTTTTATTCAGAGAAACCCTTAAATTTATGCATAAGCTGTGGCTCTAGTAATACAGTTTGGCTATTTTGGTAACAATAACTGCATTAAGGTACTAAAATAAACAAAAATAAAGTAACTTTCAATTAAGTGGAAATGATTAGAAACCCTGTATCTTAACTACTTTTTTTCCTTTTTCACGAGGGCCCACAGCAGCTAATTCAGTATTTACAACTGGCAATATGAAGAATTCAACTGATCGAGTGTCTCCCTAGCTGTCTAAACCACAAGCTGCAGGATATTCTTGCAAAAAAATGATTTTAGGACACTGAGGAGTTAAAAACCAAAGAATACTTTATTGCTGGAATACAAAAAACTGACAGTAATCATCCCAAGAAGATGCTATATAAAATAGCCACAAAAAGAAAAAGAATGAAACTATAAAAGCCTGAAAACAAAATGGTGAGCATTTTTAAAGGGGGAGTTAATATTTAACATACCAGAATTGTGGAACTACTAATTCTTGAAGAAGCAGGGAAATATGACTTGCCAAGAGGAGAATGGCACACATTACCAGCAAGCTAAATGAAGCTTTAGCAAGTCTTTTCTGCACTAACTATTCAGATATTTCTATCAATTGATGTGACTCAAGGATTTTTCCATCTGAGTTTATGACCAATTATGTATCCTCTTTTAATGAAAACAAACCAAATTAGAAAGGAATGGTTTTAATCAAAAGAACATAAACTGGATTTATAACATAAAGCAAGCTGTGTGCTCAAGAAGCCAGTTCAAAATAATGAGGACTGCTATAGAAACAGATTTTCAATTGTAACAAGAGTGTCTAAATATATTTTAGAAGCTAGAAACCTGTGTTTCCTTTTTTGTTTTCACACGCTCTGGAGAATAAAGTGACACTGTCATATATTCCATCAGAGGGAAACATAATTCTTATGATTTGAGGAAGTTTCTCTTGATCGTGACTTTCTTAAGGCAAAACAAACACAAATATTTTATACTGGTCTTTAGAAATTCATCAGCCAACTAAATCTCACAATTCATGCAGTTGAAGTTTTGGAGAGAAAAATGAAAGAATTCCTACAAGACATGAAATAAAACACAGCTACTTCACTGCTGTCAGGTAAACATTTATGTCAAATCTGTCCATGACATCATGTACCAATTTGTGAGAAACTGCTCGTGTGAGCCAAAAGGCCCCTAAGGCAACAACAAACAGGTAGGTCAGAAGATGCATGCAGCCCAGCACACGGTTTTACATTTACAAAAGAAGAGAATCTTGCTTTAGAGGATAATTCTTAATTATCATCTAACTTGACGTTTCTGCTTTAATGATCAAGCTAACTGATGTGACAAACCTGATGTTTTATCTGTCAACTCGGGAAATCTGGCACTCAGAAATGTTTCATTTTCGTGAGATGTCAATGTTAGTTAAGACCTTTACTTATCTGAATCATTGTCTCTAGTAATACTTTATACCAAGTTCAAAAGAAATTAATGTTATAATCTGTGTTTCTAAAATATTATCCTGAAAATATACCTAACAAGAACTGTATTCTACACTTGTCAAAGATTACATTAAGGTTAAACTGAATTCTAAAAATGACTAGCTTTTATGCTTTGTGTTTGATTATGATTTTACAAACTGCTATATGTGAAATGTGAAATTTAGTTGGTTGTATGAGTTTATACTTTAAATGAATATTCTGGTACTGACATTTTGCCGCCAAAATTCAACATTATTATCATCACTCAGAGCCTTTATATATTAAAATATAGATCTGCTTGAATAAGCAAGTTTATTGGTATTCCTTGCTATTATATACACTGGGTGATTTATATAAAGACTTCACAGGAAATATATAACTTTTAAAAGACTGCTCAGAAAATGGACTTCATATATTGCTTTCCCTAGAATTTCATTTTTTATTTGAAAAACCACGTTTTGAACAATCAACTCATATTCTTTCTAAACAACTTCTAAACTATTTCTTGAACTCCTATTAAATTTCAATTTTCTCCTTCCACTAAGTATAAGAGGGTGTGGTCACAAAAATAAATCAATCATAGGAATCATTAGTGTTCTTTTACTAAGCTCTGTGGTTCTTTTACTTTAATATAATGTCTTTCCTAATTTTTATAATTTAAGTCTGTCAAGTATAGAGTTCAATGAGCATTTTCACTGTGAAATGTAAAATACATCATTTGCTATTTCTGTGAGAAATAACTAAATATTCCTAAGTATACTTCATTTTAAATTTCAAAGGAAAATTTTCACCTACACTAATTATGCTAGGATATATTAAAAGAGCATTTATTCCTCACCTACTCATGTTTTAAGGGAAAATATTAAAAAGACCAGGCTAAAATTAGTTCTTCTTATAGTGTATTTATATTATACAAAAATATACTACATCTCAATAAGTCTAACAAATCCAAATGAAGGAAACATATTTTGTGTATTAAATAAATTTTGCACTGCAGGGAACAAGCTTCAGACAGTTCCTTCATCAACAAGAAAACCCAAGTTCCTTTCGCATTAAAATAACTCAACCCTGGTTTTCTAATTCTCCATGCTTCATTAATAGTTTAAAAGCTTAAAAATTAAAATAAGAACACAGTAAAAAGATTCTTTTCCAACACATGCTTTTTTACATCATTTAAACTGCAAAATGTCAAATAGTTTATTCTATTTCACTTTCTAGGAGAAAAAAACGAATGCTCCAAGAGAATGTGTTTTTCTCCCATTCTGGAAATCAACATGCAGTCTGAATCTAACATTACAGTGCGAGATGACATTGATGACATCGACACCAATATGTACCAACCACTATCATACCCATTAAGCTTTCAAGTGTCTCTCACCGGATTTCTTATGTTAGAAATTGTATTGGGACTTGGCAGCAACCTCACCGTATTGGTACTTTACTGCATGAAATCCAACTTAATCAACTCTGTCAGTAACATTATTACAATGAATCTTCATGTGCTGGATGTGATAATCTGTGTGGGATGTATTCCTCTAACTATAGTTATCCTTCTGCTTTCACTGGAGAGTAACACTGCTCTTATCTGCTGTTTCCATGAGGCCTGTGTATCTTTTGCAAGTGTCTCAACAGCAATCAACGTTTTTGCTATCACTTTAGACAGATATGACATCTCCGTAAAACCTGCAAACCGAATACTGACGATGGGCAGAGCTGTAATGCTAATGACATCCATTTGGATTTTTTCGTTTTTCTCTTTTTTGATTCCCTTTATTGAGGTCAATTTTTTCAGCCTTCAAAGTGGGAATACATGGGAAAACAAGACACTTTTGTGTGTCAGCACTGATGAATATTACACTGAACTGGGAATGTATTATCACCTGCTAGTACAGATCCCAATATTCTTTTTCACTGTCATAGTGATGTTAATCACATACACCAAAATACTTCAGGCTCTTAATATCCGGATAGGCACAAGATTTTCAACAGGGCCAAAGAAGAAAACAAGGAAGAAAAAGACGATTTCTCTAACCACACATGAGACCACAGACATGTCCCAAAGCAGTGGTGGGAGAAATGTCGTCTTTGGTGTAAGAACTTCAGTCTCTGTAATAATTGCTCTCCGGCGAGCTGTGAAACGACACCGAGAACGACGAGAAAGGCAAAAGAGAGTCTTCAGAATGTCTTTGCTGATTATTTCTACATTTCTTCTCTGCTGGACACCAATCTCTGTTTTAAATACCACCATTTTGTGTTTAGGACCAAGTGACCTTTTAGTAAAACTAAGATTGTGTTTTTTAGTCATGGCTTATGGAACAACTATATTTCACCCGCTGTTATATGCATTCACTAGACAAAAATTTCAAAAGGTCTTGAAAAGTAAAATGAAAAAGCGAGTTGTTTCCATAGTGGAAGCTGATCCCATGCCTAATAATGCTGTAATACACAACTCATGGATAGAACCTAAAAGAAACAAAAAACTTACCTTTGAAGACAGTGAAATAAGAGAAAAATGTTTAGTACCTCAGGTTGTCACAGACTAGAAAATTCACCAAATTCATATCTAGAAGTTTTTAAATTGTAAAAAATAAAATTACTGCCAAATATTAAAAAAGAACATTTCAAGTATTGGTGTAAATTTTCAGTGTAAATGTCAAGATTAGATTAGTTCATATATATTCAACTTCTTCATTACTTAATGTATTTGTTGCATGGCAGTTTGTTAAAGTAGTACCATGTGTATATTTTGTCAAAATTATGTCCATCCTAAGATATTCGTGTAAGTCATATTTTCTAAAGAATAAATACATAGCCTTAAAAAAGTGTATAACTTTAAAATGTAACTCACAGAGATATCCTTGTTTTATATATATACAATATGAAACGTATATATATATAAAGTGGACTATTTTTAAGCCACAGATTATAGATATATTTAAGTGAAGACTCCTAGGGTATCATTTTAACATAAAGACTAAAAGGATGGGCTCCAAATAATCAGAGCAATCTAGAATTTCTTGTATATTATGTGTTCTAATATAGAGTACTTGATATATCTTTCATACATCAAAAATAACGAACTATGTTCAAAACTTTACCCTTTTATTTTTACTATAGGAAATTATAGTATTTATTAAGATATTTAAAAGTCAAGAATCAAAACTGAAACACAAACCCCTGTATATATATCCCCATCATGATAGGAAAACATAAGGTTCAAGTTTATTATACAAAAAGATTGATTTTTTTAAATTAAGGAAACTATGCCTATAATATGCAAACTAATGGATAATAAAGGGAAGGAAGAAAGTTAAATTACAATCTCCCTCACTTTGTTGAGTTTAAGCCAAATACTCTAAATATGTATATAAATAAAGTATACAGGTAAAAAAGCATTCAATAAAATAAACTTGACTTCCTAACTTTATTCTAGTCAATTTTTTCATATTAAAATTTGAGTATAGTCAAGGAAAAATAAATAATACCATTTTAGAAAGGCCTAACAAAGCCAACTGCTTCTAATTTTAGACTCAGAGAAACTTCAGAATAATGCAACTCACATTATAGTTCCCAAATGTTTCAAAATACTATATAGTTGTTTATATTCTGAAAATCATTAAAAGCAGCAGTAATCTGTCAACTTTTCTACTCTATACCACTTAATCTAACTTAAAATATTTTGCCTTCAGTCCTCAAATCATGCTGAATAACTATGAAATTATTAATCCTAACTATTGATATCAGGCTAGGGAATCTCATATCAAACAAGTATTTTCCAAGTATTATAATCTAATAATCTATCAATGAGTGCTAATGTACCTATATAAGAAAGTTAGCAATAAGTTAAAGTAGGCAAATACTTACTACCTGACAACCGACTTCATGAAAAAGTTTTCTATTTTTTTAACTATATTCACTAAATCAAGCAGCCACTCATTTTTAAATAAAAAAAAATTATGTGGAAAAATTAAATAGTATGTCACTTTTGTGCAAATGATTCTATTCAATCTAGTATACTAAGACCCCTAATATTGGGGAGGGGAATGAATCAATGAGGTTATAAATAGCAAATTAAATTTTGATTTCTTATAAAAACATCAACATAATTTCAAATTTGGTAAAGGCATAGTTCACTTCTTCCACATATCTATTCTTCTATAGATTAAATAAGACAGTAAATAAGCAAGGAGGACCTAATCTTTGTAACCCACAGAGAAATCAAGACCATAGAAAAATGTAAGAATACTATTTCATTGATATACTTGAGAGAATATCTAATAGACATTAAAAATTTAAATGACTTTATACTCTTACTCCTAAACCTAAATGAAAAATTTAACCATTTCATATTCAATAAAAATTAGACTATTTTTATATCAGGAAAAAAACTTTCATATTAAGAAAAATTTTGTTTTTAATCTTCAAATGTATTAATTTCCAAAGAACTGCTTTAGAAACATTTTTCTAAGATATTTATCTAAACTGCTTTCATATCCTCTTGTTTACTATAACTCATCTACAAAATAAGTGGCAAATATAATGTTACCCTCTAAAACTCTGATTATTTCTAAACATGACATTGTAACTGACAAATAACAAACATAATTGACACATTATGAATATACAAAAGTGCATCCACTGATTGCCAGATAAGTTATAATAACTAATATTATGTGGTGCATTATACAAAATATTTGTAAGTTCATCTTTTAAAAATAAGTAAGAAGAATATTTGTAATTATTGATCTCAACTTAAAAGAATGAGAATCTGAAGCATTTGATTAAATGTTCTATGAAAGAGATGACCTTTACTATAATGTGCAAATTTTTCACTTTATATCAAATATCTTTACCTCACAAAGTACAAGTGCTACATTTTCATGTAAGAATAAGATTTTTAAAGCAAAACCACTATGAGGAATAGTAAATTCAATATGGAATTCTTCCTTAAAACTGTATTTTTTTTAACTCACATGCTACAAATTACAGAGATACAAATTTCTATATAATTGGGTGACTCCTTCAATGCAAAAGGAATAGTAACTATTAACTTAAAAACTATCCAAGGATGAGGCCAGAGCAATAGTACAGTAGGTAGGCATTTGCCTTACATGCGGCTGACCTGGGTTAAATCCCTGGGATCCCCAGCATCCATTTGGTTCCCCGAGCACTTCCAGGAGTAATTCCTGAGTGCAAAGCCAGGAGTAACCCCTGAGTATCACCAGCTATAGCCCCAAAACAAAACAAACATACAAAACTATCCAAGGATGAACTCAACACAATACAGGCTATTTTTTTTTTCTGTTTTGCTTGCTAATGTTAGGAGGCTATTATTTTACCAAGTACTACTCAAATTTATTATGAAAACTAATTTGTTTATAATTATTTCTTTTCTAAAGTCATTCAGAATAATTTTGTACCTCTCACCTATGATTTATCAATATTTAGAAATGTGGTCTATTTTAAAGTGAAGTAAAATAGTTTATTTTTATTTATTTAGGAAATGAGATTTGGGGGTAGAGGAAGAGACTCCATGAAATAAAGAATAGGATTTACATATCCCAAGTGTGAATGGGGTAAATTATAGAACAGATATGCCATTATCTATTTTTTAAGTCCCCGCATAATTTTTTTTTGGAGACATGACAGCTTGATTGTCAAATCTTTCATTTTCAACATAGACTAGAGGATAGAATCTTAATATCCTCATCCCACATAAATTTATAACAAGATTTCAGTTCTTAGGGAGTTAAAAATTAAACTTATTAAAATTATATTTAAAGATGACAACTTAAAAGTAAAATAAAATAGGTATTTAAGAGTGCTTTTATTCAACATAACAATTTCAAGGCTTTCTTTCCAAAATCGGTCAAACTTTTGGTTTTATTACATTTTATGTTTGTACATTTAAGTAAAGCTTTGTGAGCAAGTACTTTTAAATTCTTACAAAATGAGGGGAGTATAGAAGACAGACTATATTATATGTAACAGAAATATTATACTCAAGAACTTGAAGACCAAAATCAATGTATTAAAATTTATGGCCACATCTATCTATAGAAAAAGAAAAGACAATTTAGTAAGTGTTATTTAAATAGAACAAAGTTCTGAGGTCAGAAAGATAGTACAAGGGGTAGGGCACCCACCCAGGTTCTATCTCTGGCATCCCTACTGGTCACCCAAGCCCAACTAGGAGTGACCCCTGAGCACACAGCCAGGAGTAAGCCCTGAGCACAGTGAAGTAAAACCTCTCCCACCCTCACCCCAAAAAAGAGCAAAGTTCTTAATAAACTTGAGAAGAATGGAGAAGCAAAAAGTGTAGTACAGCAGGGAGGGTGTGGGCCTTGAACAAGGTGCGATCCCGACACCACAGAAGGATCCCCTGGGCCTCACCAAGCATTATCCCTGCTGCAGAGTCAGGAGTTAGCCCTGAGCACTAGCAGATGTGACTCCAAAATAAAAAAAAAAAAGAAAAGAAAAAAAAAACAAGAAAGGAAAAGGGTAAGGGAAAGAGAGAGAGAGAGAGAGAGAGGAGGGGAGTGGAGGGGATGGGTGGGGAGAGGGGAAAAGAAAAAGAATTACATTAGATGTAAGTGTAAATGCAACACTTTTTTAAAGCACTGTTGAGAAAAGGCTACTGACATTCTAGAAAGAGTACACTGCTCTTTAGAAAGAAGAAAGTAACAATGGCAGTAAACTGATCTGCAAAGTTAAATTAGGGTCAAAGAGCAGAGAGGGCCTTAAAAATGCAAGCAGAGAAATCTAAGCAGGAGAATTACACAATGAGATATGAGCCACAAGAAATTAATGAAATAGAAATAGAAAGAGTTGATTAGATAAGACAAAAATGATAGTAAGCCAAGAAACCAAATGAACTGGCATAACACAGAATATGGGAGTGTTGCTATTACTGTGGCAGGTAGTGAAAGGCTTAGGAAAACTTGCCGGGAGAAGCTCAGCAAAGGAATGTCTAGATGTGACAAGCCACATGAAGGCAGAAACACGGAGTATGCCAACTAACCAGAAAAAGAACTGGCATAAGACATTGAAGAATTAAAAGTGACGGCCATAAAGAGGGCCTTAAGAAACTAGATTACCCTCAATGATCTAAGAACTTTTGAATTATGTTTTGTAAAAAATGTAAGGATAACAAGGTCAAAAACAAAAATAATTCCTTTCAAAACATACAAAGTAAAATATCATTATTTAAAATATGGTTGTTATTAGAAACTACTGAAAATGATCATTTAACTTGCTATTTCCAGCATCTATTACACATTTTAAGTATTAACATCCATTTTTCCACTAAACACATATTTTCTTCTTCCAGTAAAAATTTAATTATAAATACTTAACGGAAAAACACCAAGACACATTAAAATATCCTTTACTTTTTTCCTCATAATAATCTATTTTTAATATCATCCAACTCATTTCATATATAATTTTCTTTATCTTGATAATGAATGTGTAAGTAATCTTAATGAAAATAATCAGTGTTTCTAAAAATCTTATTGAAAAAGAGTTGAATATTTAATTCTCTTTTGCAATTAGTTTAAACTTCATTTCCAAATCATCTTATAAAAGGAAGGAAGGTTACTCAACAAAGCGAAGCAGATTTTTTTCTAAGAAGAGTGAAAAACAAATACAATGCATTTCTTTCCTTCCTTTCTACTTAAAAGATGAAAAGCAAAAAAAAGCAAAGAAAATTCCGGAGCCTATTTTCTTTGCATCTCACAGACACTTGCTGTACTCCTTCTGAAAGAAAGTAAGCTCTTATTGAACTTCAGGGAAGGAAAACAAAACTAAACATGATATGACTAATAAATGATAGGAGAGAAGGCAGCTCAGATCATATTACGAAACTGCAATGGCGGGCTAAAATTGTGATTGCTTGTGTGCTAACAACATACCCCTAAAGCATATAAACATTTACACTCTTGCAAAAACAAATCAATAACTAATATTTTTAAAAACAAGATACGGCAGGGAAAAGATATGAAATAGTTCTTAAAAGGATATAAAGTGACCATATTTTGGAGTTACAAATTTACAAAAGAAAAGACTGATCTTTGTCTAAAAATCATTCAGAACAACACAAAGATTATTTTTAACTGACAACTGAACAAACTAATTATATATGTGCATATATAATAAGAAATAGAATATTGGAATATTTTCACAATTCATTGGTGTTTAGAATAAAGTGGTACTGGCATGTAGAAATAAACAAAAAACTGTGCTCATCACTAATATGAGAGTTATCACCTCCTAAAAAAGTGTCTGTTTCACAGGAGAAAGAGAAGTAAACCTAAACACACTATTTAGCCTGCTATTAATAAATAAAATTAAAACTGAAAAAAGTTCTAAATATTTCAACAGTCCTCTTCACATTTTTTACAGGCTTCTGTAAGCTATATTCATGGCTTTCAAGTGTGACAGTTTTGTAGCTCCACCAGCAAGTGTTAAAAAGGGCTGTCATTCCTGTCACTCACACCAAAACAAACTCCCTATCACTATCAACCTTGAAGTATCAAGTAAGATAAAGAAGGGTTGAGACTGTCTAGGACTGAGGTTGTTTTTCTCACCTTGCTTCTATGAAGGCAATATATCATATGTTTCTGAGAGATAGTAAACAGACTACCAAAGAATATCCACCAATTTTTCAAGGATGAAAAGAAAAAGAGCAATAGAAGATTCTATTCTATATTGTTATAGGGAATTGTTTTCTATTCAGTTATGGGTATACAATACTAACAACAGATGAAAATATGAGAATTTTAATCTGATGTATACTTTGAAAAATGTGAATGCTCAAATGAGAGTTCAGCTATATTAGAAAAAGACTACAGGGGTGAGAAACATATTAGCCTTATATAAGTAATACACATTACCCTACCTGCAACATATTGCATGGTGAGAATATTATATATTGATTGGGTACATAAGACTAAAGATATATCTATTTCTTTCTAATATTGTTAATATTTAAGAACTGAAAT